CGCTTGTCGTAATCGGGCTGTTCCAGCCAACGCTTGTCCCAGGCGTTTAACTGCAAAACAAAGCGCGCCCATTCGCGTAACTTGGTCGACGCGGCAGCGAGTTCAGGCTGCTCTTTGGACTGCTTGAACAGACGCTTGGCCATGTCTGCCAGCATTTCGCAAAGTAGTTTGCGAGCGGGCAGCGCCTGCACCTGCTCAAAGAGCGGCGCCAGCTGGCGCACATAGTTGTGGGGAGCGGGCACGCGTTGGACAAGATTCGAGAGCGTGGTAATCAGTTGTATGACAGTTTCCGCACTCGCACTTGCTGCCTGCTTGGTGAAAAGTGGCAGCAATAGCTGCAGCAGCAGCTCGCACGTGTCTGGCTCGTGGACATGTACCGTCAGCAGGCTTAAAATGTTGAGTTCCCGCTTGTCCAATGTCTGTTTGCCGGTTCTTTTTTGCCGCCAGCTGGCCTGCAATAGCTGCAGCACATCCGGTATATACGGCTGTAAAATGCTAAGAGCTTGTGCGCCGTATTCCTCTGTGTTAGCGCTTTCCAAGAGTTGTTCCACCAACTGCAGCAGCGCACGTCGCACCACTGGCTTGGCCTTGTCGTTCAGAAGCAGCGCCATCAGATAGTGCACAATGGGCGGCGACTCAGGCGATGGGCGCTGTTGCAGCCAGGACTGGTAGCTGGGCTCGCCACCCCACATCAGCAGCAGCTTGAGCAGAGGCGTTGGCGTGTGTATAGAGTCTTGCGGCAGGCGCTCCAGGCAGGGCCAGACAAAGACATCGCATATAGCTTGCATTTCTTTGGTGTTCCACAGTTCCGACATATCCAAAAGCTGGCCAAAGTAGTTGACAAGCGTTTGGATAGCTGCGTGTCGCACATTCTTGTAGGCTGACATTAGTTTGCTAGCCTCGAGGGCATTGCCACCGATCACTTGCTGCGACACGCTGCCCGCCAAAAGCAGCAGCTTCAGGACGTACACTTGAAAGGCGGTACTCAGGCGGCCCGCGAACTCCTTTCTGATAAGCTCCAGCAAGTTAACAATTCTATGCAGCTGGCGCGCAGAGATCACTGCCGTCGGTACATACTGTGCCCGCACATGTCCCGCGAGAAGTTCGACTGGCTGGTTTGTGTACTCTTCAAAGCGGCCAAATGCCATTTTCAAGAAGTCCAATATCTCTTTCTCTTCCAGCTGTCCGAGAAAACGTAAAATTAGCGTCTTGCGCTGCTGCCCGCTCAACTGACGCTGGCCGGCCTTGGTGAGGTGTCCATACAGCACGCGCAGTATGTAGGGCATCAGCTCGGATCGCTGCTGCGTGGGGAGACTAGCTATCTCTAATCCGGTAAGGGTCGCCTTGAATTTGGCGTCATCGATCAGTCCCGCCAACTGCTGCTTTTGCTGGACCAATGAAGCTGGCTGCTTGTACGCAGCCAAGCAATCAAGCGCTAGCTGCTGCAGTTGCGCATTGGGGCCTGCGAGCAGCTCAAGATAAAATTCACGCATCTCCGATTCTCGGTGCAGTGCCTTAGGATTTGGCTGCGACACGAAACAAGCCAGCTTAAGCTGCAACGTCTGCAGTATGAATTTTGTATGTGCATTGCGTGTCTTCCGTTTGTGACGTTCGTTTGTGATTCGTGCCGCACTTGTTAATGGAGTCTTCTCAAGGTGATCGTTGTCCTCGTCGACATCTAAATCGTCGGCTGAAATGTGTGAACAATATCATTAAATAATATCCCAAAATAAGTGAAACTTAAAGATGTTTATAGAAAGGAATAAAACTTAAAGAGAAATACTTAAAACGGAGCGATATTTCAATACTAAGAAGCACTTTATCTATTTTCCACTAACGAAGACTAGTTTCCACTGAAACAGACAGACAGACTTGGCTATACCCATTGATCAAGGACGTATCGTTCGACATTTGAAGGGAACATGTCAAATATTTCTAAGGCCTTCAATTGAGCGCGTTAGTATGCACTTTCTATAGACATAATTTGGCTATGATTTTTGATATTTGGCATTTTCTCAGTGCTTACCCGTTGACTCATTTAAATTCCAAGAGTGTTCCGTGCGCTCCAGCTGGGCGCGATACTCGCGCTCCACGAATTGCAAAAATAGGCGCACCAGATCCGCGTTCTTCAGCTCGGCAATGTTTCCCAATTTGGGAATACATTGCCACAGCAGTTGACGGTAATTCAAAGCTTGTTGCAGCGTCAATTGGCTGCATGCCTCATCCAGTAGCAGCAGCGATGTAAGGGCCGGAGAGTTGTAGCTGTGCTGTGGCTGCTGCTGCAAGGTGGGCGCCTCCACGTTGTATTCAATGCATTCGATTGTCTGCAAGAGCTTTGTCTTAAACAATACCCAGAACTCTTCGGTGGTCATCACTTTGACATATTCTGCCAGCAACTGCTGTACCGGCGCCCACACAAATTTAAAATTGTTGTATAATAATCCCAGCAGCAGGCTGACTGCATGCTCTTTGTAGTGCGGCAGTTTGGCGAATCGTTTGAACTGTGCCGCTGCAGGCTCCAGTTGCTGCAGCTGTAGCAGCAGCTCTCGGTAATTGTGAACTGTGGGTTCAATGCAGCAGGCTGCAGCAAAATAGCCATATGGATTGATTTTGCATTGATCGCCGCCCAGCATCTCCAGGCAATGAGCGGCAATACGACGGCACTGCGCCACCGGTTCACTTAGCAGCTTAGATACAGCATTCAATGTGGCCTCTGTTGCGTTTGGCGTCAGCTCACCCTTAGCCATGCTATGTAAGATGAGCTGTAAGCAGGCCAAAGCTCGCAAGTCGTTGCCAACGAGCGGCAGCAAAGTCTCCTGCAGCTGTGTGCGCAGCTCTTTGGGCAACTTAAACTTGAGCAGGAAGTGCGTCTGCAGGAGGAGGAGCAGTACCGTGCGGTCGGAAGCATTGGCAGCTAGCTGATCCTGGATGGCACACTGGAGGCTGCTCTCAAGCGGCTGCTTATTGAAGCCGCGCAAATGAGGCAGTAGAATCAGGAGCAATAGTTGACGTTCCTCAGTCACATCAATTCGCTGAATTTGTTGCTCCAAATGCTCGTGGGTTGTCTTTTGTTTCAGCTCCATGGGATACGCCTGCCAATTCGATAGGCTTGTTGCATCCACGAGTAACGGGCGTTTGTGCTGTACGATGCGCGCTAAAAGTTCCAGGGCAGCCGTATCCTTATGCTCTTCGAAGTGTGCTACCACGTGGGGTAGCACCATTAGCTCGAACAGCTTATAGTCCATCATTTGGAGAATGAAATCCGAGTACACGTCACGTGATACCTGGCTGACTTTAAGCTGATTTTGTAGAAGGCGACTAGCATCCAGTTGGTCAAGTTGCGCATGTCGAGCCTTTAACAAGCTACTAACCAAGGTACTCAGTTGTTGCAGCGGCTCGGCATCCACGGTCATATGTCTATCGAGCAGCTTTAAAATCGTGGGCACTAGCAGCGACAGTTCCGCAATGTAACGACCGTCCTTATGTGTAACAAGCGGCAGAATTAGCTCAAGTAGCTGCACCGTGGCTGTTGTGCTAAGGTCCGCTTTGGATATAGCACCGCAGAGCTGCTGCCAGAGGACGACGCTTTGATCGGCACGCAAAAAATTCAGCAGCAAGCCGAAACAGTGCTGCACGATATCTGCAAGCAGCGCCGTCTGGGCGCTGGTGTGGCTAGCATCTGCGTTGGATAGCAACTCCAGAACATGTGCCAAAAGATGGGCAGCACATGTGTGCAATTGGCCATTGACACCGCGCAGTATCTCGTAGAGCAGGCGTCCGCACCCATGCACACTTGCCACCTGCTCGCGCAGCACAGTTTTCAGCACATAGGCCAGGAAACGGGGAAAGTCGCGGACATCGCGCGCTATGTAGGCAAAGCACTCAACTGCGAAGTTGGTCACATGCTCCGCGTAGTGCTGTTCGTCCAACAGCGGAAGAATAGCATTAAATACGATGCCAATATTACGTTTTAGATACGACTTTAGGGTTTTGAACAGATGAGCCAAGCAGATAAGCGTCCACTCCAGCTGTTCGGCATCCTGCGTGTTTAGAAGACATATCAACCGGTCCAGCACTCTTTGGAAATATGCATAGAAGTCTTCGCGCAGGTCACGGGCCAGCACGTAGAGAAGCTCCAAAAGCGGTTGCTGCGATAAGTTTGTGGCTGTGGCCAGGCGCTCTAGAAGCAAATCAACTACAAAGTCCTTTTGATGCAACAACTGCGGCAGGGTGACTATTTTGCGGCATCGCTTGCTGAAATAGTTGTACTCTTCTGTCAGATTCAGCACGTTCCATTTTTGTAGCGTTTGTTGAAAGTAAGTTTCATTCTCCGCTTCCTCGAGCTGCTCGTATTTGTGGCCTATATGGTAGAGTGCCAAATGACGCAAGTCGATCTCATTCACGCGATCTGTGAACGACTTGAACTGCAGAGGCATTAGCAAATGGTTTCAATGGGCCAGCGAATATCGTTGAGCCACTTACCCGAAAAGTATTTGTGTCTTTTGACTTTTCAGTTATTGCGGCCATCCTGATGAAAACTATTTACAATATGTAAAAGAAAACCCTGTTCAACGCAGTTTGGAAGCAGTTTTTTCTAAATTAAATTTACTTTATGCGTGCAACACGTGCACATTGTTTACAAAAAATTCTGGCAATGAAACTGTTATTTAACATAACATCGATGAAAACATTAACAGTCTCATGTTTATTTAACAGTTGTCTTTACCGGCATCCATTCACGATATGCATATTGTATGGAACAGCTGTTCATATCGATACGTGCGTCAAATTAGTATCGGTATCGGTATATCTCACTTTGTATCGATTTTTGAACTGTTATAGAAACACACATTCGAAAGGTATACATATGAAAAACTTTTTAATTATTAAGAAATCTCAGGCAAACATTTACTAGTTTCACTATGCTGCATTTATATAATTCAAACCAAATTGCTGTGCTATACAAGAAGAATCGGTCGAAAAATAAGTTTCAGTCAACATTCACGAGCTTTCACATGTTTACACACGTATAAACAATCTATAATTAATTAACAATGTTTGTTTTGTTTTTTTAATGCCGTTACATATTTCTGTTTAGTTATGCGGACTCTTGTGCTTGACGGTAGTCGTGGACTGTGCCCCTTTCGACGAACCTGGGGACGTTCGCAATGTTTTGCGCGGGTTGATCAGCGTTGGAGGAATCATCGCTGATACCGTATCCACCGCCACCAGGTGTTTTCATTGCAAATGTATCCTAAAGAACAAATGAAACTAGAGATTGCTTGAGTGGGATGCTGTTTTACACTTACCCCAGCCTCAACATCAATGCAGGTCTTGCCAGCAAGGGCAATTACTCGTCCGTCATGCTTAACGATAAGATTGCGTCCACTCTTTCCCGGATCACCGCCAGCCAGCCCGTACGGCTGCAATGTGCGACGTTCGGTGAGAACGGATAATGTAACCGGCTTGCGGAAGAGTAAATCGCGTTCGACTCCCTCGCCGCCAACAAATCGTCCACGCCCGCCGGATCCGTCGGTACGCAGGCAGAAGCGCTTCAGTATCATGGGATAGCGTAGTTCCAGAATTTCCGGATCAGTAATACGAGTATTGGTCATGTGCGTGTGCACACCACCAGCACCATGCCAACCTGGCCCAGCGCCTGAGCCGCCAGCCACAGTTTCGTAGTACCCCCACTGATCGTCTCCAATGGTGATGTTGTTCATGCAGCCTTGCGAGGCAGCGCAAGCACGGAAGGCTTTTAGCACGGTGTCCACAATGCGCTGTGAGGTTTGAACATTCCCGCCAACTACAGCTGCACCTTCTGACGGATCCAGTATAGAATTCTTGGGTATCACAACATGAATGGGCGCCAGGCAGCCTTGATTAAGTGGCACGTCGTGTCCCACCATACAACGAAGACAGTATATAAGAGCAGACAGCGTTATAGCCCTTGGAGCATTGCAGTTACCCCAGACCTCTTCACTGGATCCACTGAAGTCGCACAAAGCCGAACCGTGTTCGGGATCTATGGTAACACGCAGAGTGATGGGTGAGCCGTCATCCATAAACTCTTGGGCCATTAGCACCGTCGAGCCTGTACGCTCCAAGGTATCTCGACCAATCTGACGCAACATGTCGCGCACAGCTAGCTCCGCGTTTTTTTGAATGTGGGTCATGTATGCCTGTACTACGTTAAGGCCGTAACTGTCAATAAGCTCAGACACTAGGTGTATGCCCTTGTGGTTGGCAGCGATCTGTGCCTTCAGATCTGACAGATTGTCGCTGAGGTTGCGTGTGCCCACAGCACCCTTAGCTCCAGTTGGTGTTGTCAGGCGCTGTACAATCTGTTGCTCTTGAAATACCCCATTCTCCACAATGAGGAACGACTTGAAAGCTGCGCCCTCCTGAGCGAGGGATGTTGAATGAGGGGGCATCGAGCCAGGCGTTATTCCGCCAATGTCTGCATGATGTCCGCGCGACGCAACAAAGAACACTGGACGCGGTTGTCCCCTATAATCAAACAAAACTATATAAACAAAAATGCATAATAATGCCGTAAACTAGCCCATACTCATAGAACACTGGTGTGATAACTGTAAGGTCCGGCAGGTGGGAGCCACCGGCTTGTGGATGATTTGCCAAAATGACATCGCCATTCTTTAAGGTCTCACCCCGCACACGCAGCTGGTACTGTACCGTCTCCTGCATGGCACCCAAATGTACGGGAATGTGTGGTGCATTACTAACAAGGCCGCCGTCCGGGCCGAACAGAGCACAGGAAAAATCTAGACGCTCCTTTATGTTGGTCGAGATGGAGGTACGCTGAAGCACTCTGAAAAAAGTAAGACTTTTGTACGAGGAACCATAATTGAAGTCAAGATACTACCTGCCCATCTGCTCGGCAATACTCATAAATCGGTGACTGAATATACTCAGATGCACTGGGTCCAGTTCCGCATTAATGCCATGCTTGCCGCTTGTTTGCACATCCATTATAAGGTCACCATAGATGGTCACATGAACGGAACATTCAGGCTCCACTATGATTGTGGACAGCTGATCGATAAGCACAGCAGGCCCGGAGATCTTATGTCCGGCCAGCAGATGCTTGGTTAAATAGATAGGCGTTTCAAATGCACCGTGGTCAAAGTACACTTGGGTGTATCCCTCGGCTGTGGGAGTAAGCTCTAGTGCTTTTTCCACCTGCGGCTCAGGTGGTGTCTCGTTTTTACCAAGGCCCCGTATGCGAATATCATCTACGATTATGCGTCGATTTTGCAGCACAAAACCAAACTCGGTGCGGTAACGCTCAAGAAAAGTGACGTGAAAATCGCCATAGGCAGCTAACAACGCCGATGATTGCTCCGACAACTGACCCTTATCAGCAGGTGCTGGCGTACACATCAAGGCCCCATCAGTGCCCTCGTAGCGCAAATGGAGGAATGATTGAAGCTCAATTTTCTTAAAACCTTGCTCTGCCAGCTGACCATGACACTGGGCTGACAATGCATCTAATCGCTCCTTAATCAGCTGTGCATTCGCATCATTAAATTCCATCCCACTGGGCTCCTGCACCTCCTGGACAACATCTGCCAGTGCCATGCCATAGGCTGAAAGCACTCCTGCATATTTATGCACTGCCACCTGCAACTACTAAATTAGAATTGATCGCCAATATTGTTAACTTACTGACCTTAGCTATGCCCAGATTTCGAGCTATTGAGCAGGCATGCTGTCCACCGGCACCACCAAAACAGGAGAGCACATGATTCGCGGTGTCCAAGCCGCGGGACTGCGTCAGAGCACGTATCGGTCGGCACATTGTTTCGTTAGCGACGCGAATGAATCCCAGAGCCACCTGCTCAATGCTTAGTACTCTTGAGTCACCGCTGGCTTTCAGATGAGCATTTATATCTGACTGCAGCTCCCTGAACTTGCGCTTGGTGAGCTCATAGTCCAGGGGCTCATTCTCATTTGGACCGAAGATCTTTGGGAAGTATTGGGGAAGAATGCGGCCAAGCATCAGATTGGCATCGGTAACGGTCAGTGGCCCGCCCTTCTTGTAACAAGCCGGACCCGGGTGGGAGCCCGCGGACTCCGGACCCACCACAAATATGCCTGACCGGAAGAAGAGCCGGGAACCGCCGCCCGCTGCTACAGTATTGATGTCTAACTGTGGCGCCTGAATTGTTACGCCCGCTGTGGTGCTCTCAATAACGTGCTCATAGCTACCGGCATAACGGGACACATCAGTGGAAGTACCGCCCATGTCGAAGCCAATCAATGGCAAATCCGTTTCACGCGAGCCTGTAAGCGCATATCCCACAACTCCGCCTGCCGGACCCGAAAGTATGGCACGCGCGCCTCGGAAGTTTTCCATGTTAGTTAGGCCTCCATCTGATTGCATAAAGAGCACATCCACACCAGCCAACTGATTTTCGAAGCCCGATTTAAAGCTGAAAAGAGTAAATTTGTCATCAAGGTATGCATACATTCATTAAATTAAAAACACCTCTAGAACTAACTGTTCCTAATTATCGAGCGTCCACTGTACTAAAATGCACACAACCTTTTAAAAATTTAAAGATATGATCATGTACCAACGTTGTAGACGGCCGCAAGTTATAAAAGATAATAAAATCAGAGGGCGCTATCTCAAACTAAAGCACACTATAAAAAAAGAAAAAAAGATCTTGAGTTTAATTCAAAGCGAACCAAATTAATCGTATTTACGCTGCTTCTAGAGGTGTTCCTACTTTTTTGGCCGCGAATGTTCTGTTGTTGGAGAGTAAATAGTAGTAGTCGGGAGAGGGGTGGGGAGCATACAGTTGTTCTATTTGTTTGCCTCAGTCTAAGCGATGTATTACCATTATCTTTACTATTGTCGAGTCATTCCGAGCTACATATGGCTGCTTAAGATTTGTTTCCCTTATTTATGAGCGAGATTGGGACATGGGTACACTACGCACTCACCTGGCTAGGTAGCGATCTACATGGGGTGTCAGGTAGGCTTCAGCACAGGCTGTGTAGCCACGGGCCACCACCCGGCACATGGGCATTGCCTTGTGCGATAGCGTAACATGGCTGAATCCCAACTCGCTCGCAATGGCACCAATGCGCAGTTCGTGTTCCGGGCAGGCGTAGCTGTGGGCCAGTACCACAGCCACAGAGTTGATGCCCTGTTGGCGAGCAGCAGAAAGGGATGCCCGCACGGCCAGCTCGTCCACAGGCTGCATTTCCAGGTATTTGCTTCCAGTCACGCCCTGCAGCACTTTCCACTGCTGATCTGGATAAGTAGTCCATTAGCAAACGATTGCGACATGTGGTTATTACTTACTTAGCTGGCAGCGCTCTGCCTGCTCCGGCACAATGCGGCAGGTAACCTCGACAACATTCTGGTAGAGATTCGCCGGCTTGCGTATGTTTAGATCGAAGATTTTAGGTCGGGCTTGGTTGCCGATGTAGAGAAGATCACGGAATCCAGTGTTAACAACCAGAACGACAGGATCGCCCTTCCGCTCCAGCAGGGCATTGGTCGCAACAGTGGTGCCCATGCGCACCCATCCAATCTTCGACGTGTCTACAAGCCCAGCTGCGGTCAGATCTGCGCCAGTTTCCTGCCGTCCTCACACAATTAATTGTGACCTCTCTCCAATGATAAACGCAAACTCACCTCTTTCAGTATGCGGCGTATGCCCTCGCGAGGAGCGTCGCTGTAGCGTTCCGGATCTTCAGAGAGCAACTTCATTGTGCGCACTCGTCCGCCGGGGCAGATGCAGAGCACGTCGGTAAAGGTGCCGCCGCGATCGATAGCGAAGCAATATTTTCCGCCGCCATCGGACGTAGCACCTGATGACACTGAGGAGACCATATTTCAACTTGCACGTCTTGCAAAGCAGAGCGATCGTCGAAAACTGTCTGAGTGCCACTCTAGTCAAACCTATTTATAGCAGAATTCTCTGCCTCTCTCTCTCTCTCTCTCATGAACACTTTGATACGCGAGCACTTAGGTATGCTCCGAAAGCTTTTAAACTAAAAAGCGTGCTCTCTTTCACACAAACCTCTCCAAGTGGAAAAGTTTAAGCTCCAAACGCCAGTTATCAGCTATTATGAAAGTGTGTGTGTGTGTGTGTGTGTGAGTGTGTATAAATGCACATTTGTATGTATCTTTGTATGTTCGTGTATAAAGCTAGTGCACGCACAAATTATTAATCTAAAAAAGTAAGCTAAAACATACCCTACAGAAGATTATTATTAGTTAGTCATAAGAAATGTCTTGAAGTAGCTTTGACGAAAATAGGCATTGATGCTTTTAAGTTGTTTTAGTATGTAACTAATAACATTTTGTTAATAATTAATAGTAGAGAATAACCACACAGCATCGGATAGCCAGATCGGTTACAATAATAAATAAGTTAGTATATATTTTAAATTTAACTATATGTTCAAATAATAATAATTATTTTAGCCGCCGATAGGTCGATTCTGGCACTACCATTGTTGCCTGGATATCAGCCAATGTGCGACAACCGGTTAACGCCATTGATATTTTAAAATCTTCTCTAAGAAGTTCCAGTAGTTGCTCGACGCCTCGTTGACCATCACAGGCGAGGGCCCAGATTGAAGGTCGACCTAAAAATACCATTTGGGCACCAAGAGCCAAAGCCTTAAGAATATCGTTGCCCTCCCGAATGCCGCCATCCAGCATAACAACTAGATCCTTACCAACAGCCTTGACAATCTCCGGCAGGACCTCAATTGTGGCAGGCGTGGAGTCCAATTGACGTCCGCCATGATTAGAGACTATTATGCCGGCACAGCCGAACTCGCGCGCCAGTTCAGCATCTTCTGCGGTAAGTACACCCTTCACAACAATGGGTAGGTGCGTAAGCAGTTTGAGCCACTTGATATCCTGCCAGGTGACAGTGGCATCGAATTGGCTAACCACATATTCGTTGAGTCCAGAGCCGCCCATTTCAGATACCACGCCGCTGGCCAGTTCCCCATGAAAGTTGGCCAGACTCAAATGGGATGGCAGGCTAAATTTGTTACGCACATCATCGCGACGTTGACCAAAAACTGGGGCATCCACGGTCAGAACAAGAGCCTTGAAACCCGCATTTTCCGCCCGCCGCACTAGGCTCTCGGTGAGTGCACTGCAAACGGAATCACAAAATACTGAAATTACGTCGGTTTGTGCCTAATATAACTAAAGGCAAGCTTACCGGTCCTTGTATATGTAGAGCTGGAACCATTTGCAGGTCTCAGGGGCCGCGGCGGCCACATCCTCCAACGAAGTGGTCGCGAGAGTACTCAAAACGAATATGCAACCGGCCACGCCGGCAGCTCGTGCGTTGCCTACCTCGCCATCAGGATGCGCCATCTTTTGCATGGCCACGGGTGCAATGCCCAGGGGCAAGTCGATGTGGTGTCCCAAGATCATGCAGCTAGTTTCCAGCTGTGAGACATCACGCAGGCAACGTGGACGTAGACGCAACCTACCCACAGATGAACCAAGATAAAAAAGTATTGCTACAATTTGTAACATGAACATAAAAGTCCGAGAAGCTAACCGAACGCCTATAACCCACCGATGATCAATATATAAAATAATAAATATTAACCTTACTCATTTTCTATGCCTTGCATCAAAGACTATTTGTGGTGTCTATCTCCGTGGACTCCGATCAAAAAAGGGCTTCATACCTAATACGAACCTTTGAAATGCCTCTCGGTTTAATCGAAGAGTAAGCTGCTCCCCAGCCCCACTTTTGTAATAATCAAGAGCATTTTTCTCAAGCTCTACACGCGCCTTCTGCTCAAAGTCCGAAACAGAAACAAATGCCATTTGAATTCAAATGAACTGAACGAAAATGATTATGGATTATTTATATACACAAGTATGCGTTACTCTGTTTCGTTCTGGGGTCTGGTCGAATTAATTGCAACCGACTTGCTTTTATACCCACAAAGTAGGCGCAGCCTTTGGGATGTATGTACATATATACTAGGAACTGCAAGAGCAGAATGTTTTTACAGAGTATTCTCTTCTAGTAGATACTCCTTCATAATTGCGTACCCACATTGTACACCTAACGGGAATTTAATTTAATCTAAATCATAACATATCAATTTCTTAAGGATAATATACACAACAGCTGACAAAGCAGCTGCTATAAGCAGGGAAATATAAAAAGTTAGTAAATATGATAAACTTGACTTGGCCAGAAAGCAGTTATTTAAATGTTCTTCTGAAGAAGCCTAACATAGATCTAATTTGTAAGTTAAATATTTATTGCCTTGCTTAGTTTAGTTGACAATGAGATACTCAGAAAAGCTTCTTAAAGAAGCATCTATGCAAAACAGTTTACATGCAACCAATAATAAAATATTGTTAACAAATAATACGAAATAAGATAACACCAATATATAAAATGCTTAATTGGATTATGGTTGAAGCGATTCAAAAAGCTTCGCGAGCAAATCCTTTAGTTCGGCAGCAAAAGGCAATATCTTGAATTGGTTTGGACGTTCCGTTTCCATAGCCACCAGATGATCCCAAAGCATTGTTAATTGCTTGTGTAATTTGGTGCCGCGCAGCATGGCCTTGCATTTGGCGCTGAAGCCGAATAGCTTCCACAGGCACAAGACCACCAGATGGTGCTCCACATACGAGTCGACGTTTGTATCACCTCCACCACTGCGGTCCTGTACCGGCTGTGACACTATATCCCGTAGGAAGTCTGGAAACCCGGCCATGTTGACCAGCAGCATGCGGTTGTGGTTGCTGAAGCACATGTTGCGTATAATGCGAAGGCAGCGCATGCGCATCTTGCTAAGTGGCGGAGAGCGACGAACCAGATTGAGAAGCGCCTGTAAGTGACAAATCTTGTAGCCCAGCTCGTATCTGGAGAAGACCTCCCAAAAGGCTAGCCAGGCAAGCAAAATGTCTGACTTTACTCTGCCCGCATTGCTGTTGCTAGCTGGCATAATCGTGTCAAACATGTCCAGCACACGCATCTTTCCCAGGCTCAGACGTCCCTCGGCGCAAGAGCAACAGTTGATCATAACACGCAGTGCAGCATCAATAATTGAATCCGAGCTGCACTTGGCGAAGTCGGGCTTGGCACCGGATCCCTCTTTTTTGGTTGACTCGTGATCCGCCACGCGCACCATCAGCTGCAGCAGCGAGTGCGACTGGCTCGACAGCACCTGCGAGGTCTGTTTACACATCTCAAAGGAATGTTCCGTAAGCAACGTGGTCAGTCGCACAGTCATGTGTTTCAATACAGCCGAATGCGATAGCCAGGGCCATAAACGTACCAGAACTCTCACAACTCTGGCGGCCATCACTGGATCCGTTATGACCGCGTGCGGCGTATTTTGCCAGTGCATTAGCATGTTGAGCAGCACCAGCAGATTGTTAATGATATCACGCGACTTGTGGGCCCCGACGCGCCGCACATAGACTGTGGCATTGCCAACACTCGCATCGTCGAGGAACGTCTCCAGCAGGTGTATAACGCGTTCCAGTAGCTTGAAGTGTCGCGCAGCGTCCGCCGCCCAGGCCGACTGCTTTAGCAGATTGCCCAACACTTCGCAGATTTGCACATGACTTTTAGAGGGGGCCTGCAAGAAGCTGTACGTCTTGGCCGGATAGTGTAGCTCGAACAGCTGGTCAAGACTGTGGTAAAGCAAAACAGCAGCGTTGGTGAATTCCTTGGACTGACCAGGGGCGGGTGCTAATTGTTTCGAATTTGTCGTAGGCAAGTTTTGCCTTGCCAAGGGCTTTAAACTCAATATCTTCAGTTGTTTATTCAAAGCATTTGTGCTGTTTTCCTTGTCATCGCTGTCGGTATCTGTGTCCGTGTCATCTTCCTCCTCCTTTTCTTCATCACTTGTGTGTGTTTCTTCGACATACGCTTCAAATACCCTTAATAAGTTGTGTTCCTCAGCTGCATCCTGCGCCTTTATCAGCAGTAGCGAGAGTGCTAACAGAGTGTATCGCTGAACTGCTCGATGGATGAGGATCTGATTTAGGCCATAAAGCAGTAGATCGAACAGCAGCTCCGGATGTGTCTTAAACTTTTCGCACAGAAAGTCGTACGCGTTTTTATCCTTACAAAATACCATTAACAATTTAAGCATTTGGACGAGCTGGTTTTCCGGCACCACCTTCTGGTCGAGCACATCGTTAATTAACGAGACATAGCTCTTGAGCAGCACAGGATCGCGGCATATACTGCGCTGCAGGAACTGAAAATTGTATTGGTAACACATCGCATACAGCTTACAGATTTGTCCGGCACATAGCTCCAGATAGACACTGGAGTATGGTTTGCCCGGCGTGCTCATCTTCATCAAATCGCTGAGGCCATTGAAGAACGCGTGATTGCATAATATGGAACACCAGCTGGGCTCCAGCGCAACCTGCGTGACACATATGCTTACACAGCAACTAATTAATTCGAATGAGCTATTTGCTTCGGGTTTCTTGGTGTCTTGCCTTTTATCCAAGGACAGCTGCAGCGCGACAAGTGCCGCGTGAGCGTGCTTAAGGAACGAATGATACATCAGCAACTCGCTGCAAGCAGTCGCGCCAATGTGTGGGATTATCAACTCGAAAACTCGACCCGCCAGCTCACGCACCAGCAACGCCTCGTGGTTGTCCAGCATCGTGCTGAGGCAACAGGCAGCCAGGCCACCTGGCAGAAAATCATGAAAGTCAAGCAAAATGCTGGTCATGCTGTTGCCGGCACTCTTGATCCAATTCGCCATCGCCACCCAGGCCAGAGTGCGCACCTCTGTGTCGGAGTGGCCGCACAGACCCAGGAGATAGCGTAGAACCTTGTTGCCACTAGGATACTTGCAAATCGCTGGACCCAGTAGCTTGGTCTGCGTCTGCAACTGACAAATGATGAGCAGACAGTCGCGTTGCCACTGGGCGCCCGTTTGCGTGGTCGTCCGCAGGTTACTCGATAGCTGCACATAATGCTGATAATAGGCCTGCAAATGGTTAAGAGTTCTGTTTTGAAAAATATCCCCAGCGACCTTAGCAATTACGTGCTTCAATATTCTTCTCATATGTATGAAAAGCTGCAAGCAATATGTTTGCAAGGGTATTTAAACTTTGGCTATTCTTTCGTTTAGTTGAGCAAGCACTATCAATCTAATGTCCCTCATACAATTATTAAGAATTTAACGAAATGTTCTCCACAATCTCCTGTACGATATCATTTTTGGTTTGTGGCCCAAGGTATTCATACTTTGAAGGTATTATATCTATCTTCATGCAATTTAAGGAGTTATTTCTAATGTTGCATCAATGTACACTACACGAGAGCCCAAAAACCAAAATTTGGTGAGCTGATTTTTGCAATTTGTGGGGGCGGAAGTGGGTGTGGCGAAATGCCTTCGGTGTCACATTCAAAGAGTCATCAAAATTCTATCTATTTTAAGTAAAATATCGACTTACCTGTAACTTCGCGTTATCCAATTGCAACGGCCGCTCGCTTAGGTGCCGCAGGACGGAAAGAACACAGCGCACATGTTGTAGTTTGCGTTCCTCAAAATGGGTGCGAGCCAGGGTGCTTAGCTCCTCGAAGAGTTTGCCATGCCACGTGCTGTTGTTCTGTTGGCGATGCCAGCGCAATAGATGTACCAGACAGTCTGTGACCAAGTGCAGAAGCTTTAAGGAGACGTTGCCATCGCGTAGGATCACCATGAAACTGTGATGAGGGTCGGTTTCGAGGGCATTGCTTAAGCCAGCCAGTACCTCCGGCAAACGATGGCGCAAACAGCTCAGGCATAGCTCCAATAATTCCATGTACAGCTGCATATCCGCCTCATTGCCGGGGGTGAGCCGCAGATACTTATGCATAAGCATCCATAGGTTGCTACACTGAGCGGGCAGCATGTCGCCGCGCAGGAGCACCAAGAACAGCTGAATGCTTGCAACCAGTTGGTGTAAAGTTTCGTGGCTGCTACAATTGTTGGCTGCGATGAGTTGGTTCTGCACCTGCAGGTGCACGAGCGACGCATGGACCAGTGCCAAGTCAGCTGGCTTTAGTTTCAGTGTCTCTCTAATGTCCAGTTCACGGACCCCAGACAACGTCAGATCCTCCGGCGAGCCGCAAATCCGGTGCGCCATAAATAGGCGCCAATGCTGAGCTTCCATGGCTGCATTGTTATCAAAGTGCTTCACTAACAAATGCCGCTGCAGCGCTACGCCTTCAGTGGCAGCCGTGGGCGGTATGGTGCTATCCAGTTCGTAGCTAACCGGCACAACCATAGCAGAGAGGTCAACGTCCAGCTTGAGGCTTGCATCATTGGCCGTCATGTGCTCGTGAAAGAGCAGTTGGAATATGCAAATACTCACTTCGGCGCGCAGCTGCGTCTCGTGAGGCATTAGAAAAAGGCAGCGCAAGAGACAGACCAGCATTTCTGCGTTGTCTTTGAACTCATGACGAAACCGTTCGCTACGAAAAAGTACCCTCAGCAGTATACTCACCGCTGGTAGCAGTGTTTCGGTCTCTTCATTTCCTCCGCTCCTATCTCGCAGCAGCGGATCGTGCAGGGCTTTCAAACAGAGCACGTAGGCGCCGTCACAAGTGGTAAACGATTCCACGGCCTCCCAATTGTGTAGTATGACATTTAGCTGAATCAGCGTAGATTTGCGTATGCTCGGCTTCAGGTCGGGCGTCTCCAGCAGGCGCAGCAGCGTATTTAGGCTGCGTGAATATGGCAAATTCGAGCGCTCACAAAAAAAATTGTAGTAGTTAACGGGCGGCTGTATGGCGCACACGTCGTGGCCAATAAAATCCAAACACAGCTTATCCATGGCGGGTCTGTATTTGTGCTGATGATCTTGCCAGACCAGGATGTAGGCGACCCGTCCTATGGCATCCTTGCGAAACTTTGCGTCCGGATGAAACAAGTAACAGACATTGCCGCGCAGAGCTTGTGGCGGTTCCAGATATTCGCTATCCGGATCAAACAGCTCCCAAAGCATATGCTGCAGCTGTGGTTGGTTGATGGCGCGACACACGAGAAGTGGCACCACAGGCATCACAATCTTGAATATTTCATTAAAGTCCTTACACGAGACCAGCTTAGCGAGTCCCACTACCATTATTAAAAAGTCAATGCACCACTGCTGCAGCTGCAGCGACTGTCCAGGAAGCCAGCCCTGCACGAGCAGCTTGCGCAGCAGTTGTGAGCTCATGGGCAGACCAAGAATATGGCGTTTAGCTAACTCAGTGTTGGTACAGCCCATCAGGTAGTTACTGCTGTTCATGAAGGCGTGAAAATGCTCAACAACGGGCTGCTTCAGCAGTCGCAGGGCACAACTGCGGAGTCGTTCGTCTGGTAGATCGAACAAGGTGTGCAGCAGGGACTCCGCCTCCTGGCGCAGTTCAGGCTTGGCTATATAGAAGCTGGTGCATTTTATGATTGCCTGAATGAGCTGTTTCATCAAGGATTCGCTACCCAGCAGCAAGAGTACGAGACACATTTGACGCTGCTCTTGCAGCAACTCCATGGGCGGCAGTTTTGTTTCCGCCACCAACTGAGCCAGCGCCAAGCTGTAAGCTTGTTTAAGGCGCAGCATTTGCTGCTCCTCAGGCGCAGCCTCAGTGCAAATCACGCCACAAAGATTACACAATTCGTGCATACGCATGGGCACACAGGACAAGTATGAACTGTCCAGGATTAGGGGCTGTAGCAACGTCCGGGCGGTAGGCTTGTCGATGGTCCCATTCTCCGACAAACTCAGCGTTATGACATCCAGGAGCAATCCGTTAAATATCAGCGATTCCAAGCGTGGTATCATCAGCTTTTTTACCAAGCTGGGTGTTTCGCTAACATTAGCCACATCTAAGCTGACGCAATATCTTATTAGCTTGGGCACAATCATGGCCAGTCGCTGCACGATATTTTCCGGTATGGGCTCAGCGATTTGACCAAAAGTTTTTATTACCTCAACGCTCAGCTCGATCAGGTGCCAATTGTGATTGCAGTGCTCCAGCAACGGCGGCCCAAGTAACTCCAAGCAGCCATTTAGTATCAGAGCCAAGACACTGGAAACGCGTAACTGCTGCGGCATTTCTGCTTGTGCCTTAACGCTAAAAGCGTAGTCGAGTGATTTGTTGCGGATTCGAAGGCGACGCTGCAGCAGCTTTACAAAAGTAAGAAGCGCCCGGTTTACGTGCAGAAGGGTTGCTCCAGCTTGCAGCTGCTGCACGTGCAGCAGCTGGAGTAATATATGTGGCGGCTGGCACAACTGTTCAACTGGGTAGTCCCATAGTTTGACTTGTAGATTGGTTATATTCTCTTGGAGCTGCAGATCGCTGTCAATGGTAAGGGTGTCCACCATGGTCTTCATTGTGGCCAAATCGTCCACGCTAGCACACGACCAGGCCGGCTCATAGTCTTCGGGGCTTATGTTAAAACTTTCAATCGAAAACAATTCCATTTCGCCAATGCTGCACTGTGATTCGCCTGAAAACACACACACACACACGCACGCACGAATGAATAAGATTTAGATGCCATATGTAACAGCCGTACCTGAACTGTTTTTGCCTGGACTGAGGTTGGTTTCTTTATACAAGGCAATTACCAAACTGTTTAGATTGTCCAGCAGTTCCATGGCGCGTGTTGACTGCAGGCACTGCAGTATTTTCCGAATCTTTTCCAGCTCAGCTTCCAAGCGCTGGCATGGAATCTTGCGCACAACCGCATCGCTGTAATCTGACCGCATCAGCTCCAACATTAGTGCCAGTACGCGATCTGCGGCTGTCAGTGGCGTGTAGCCGAACCAGCGTATAAGTTGCTTGAGCAGCAGCACCGGCTTGAAATTGATCTTCTCGCCATGTTGCAGGCAACGTATGAATCGCGTTTCAACCTGCTCCAATGCGCGCATGCGAATTTCAGGCGATTCATTGGTCAATTTGGCAAGTTGCTGATCTCCCAGCGAGAGCGTCAGTCTGGATGATGTGGACGATGACATTCTGATAATGCATCTGTTATCACTTCACGTTCTTGACACAAACATATACTTTTCTATTCACTTACGCGTTTTTTTTATTGCTATTTTATTTAAATTAATAAACTAATTGCAATTTACGAACAAAATTTTAAAGCGTCGTCAGCTTTCGCGCGTACTGAGAAGCCACCAATTATTTTTTGACGCCGTTGCCTTTTTGAGTATAACAGTGCTGTTGTTTAACATTGCGCATTATGCGTTCATGTTGCGCAAAACGCAGTCCTAAATGTTAACTTGATGGAATGAGCCAGTAATTATTTGAAAATACTTTAACACGTCAATTGCTTGAACGAAAAACCTTTGCGACAGAAATAAATAAAATAGCTCTATAAAGGAACGATTACTTGCACTTTTTGACCTACTTCAAACCGTTTCTGTTTGAATTAATCAGAAATTACCCAAATACCAAGGTAACGTAAAATTCAAAGATTATGTTAAATTTGAATGTTTGACAAAATAAAGAAAATTTTTAATTTAATATCGATTTTCTTCTCTTTTTAAAGTTATTTTTGTTTTAGTTTGCGAATAATAAATAATTAAATAAATACATTTTTAAATTAAATAGTATATAATTATTATTGTTTGAACCGGCGATTTCTCACTTGTTTATTCGACGCTCAGGCCATATAAAGTTTTTCTTTACTGTTCAATGGCAAAGATTTTTATTGTCTTAGATGTTTTTCATACCAAAAAACCATCAGCGGTTAGTTAGTCAGAAAACCCTTTTTTTTTTAGTTATAAGTTAGATAATTTGTTATATATAGAATATAGATTTAAGACAGTTTCTATATATTAAAATAGTCTTATAAATATGCAATTAAAAGTCATACTTTTTACGATTTCTGCTTTATTTTTGAAGGTTTAGTATGGGCAGTATACTTCGGAGGCCCAGTTACAGTTCAATGAGCTAACGTCGAAATAAAGTCCGCCTCCGCATTGGAAGTCATAGCGAATGCCATCTACACACTGATAGTAGCGACTGCAGTCGCTGCTGTGCAGGAAGTAGCCATCGGTTGAACAACTCTCGTTGGAACCACCTCCACCGCCACCTCCTGGAGTCGGGCTAGGTGTAGGTGCCGGGCTGGGTGTAGGTGCCGGAGTCACACTGCCACCGCCGCCGCCACCACCGCCGTTACCCACATCGACTCCTAAGGCTCTGTTCATGGTCTTCAGCAAGGGGTATGCCTCTCCGCAGAGGCCACGGAAGTCATCGGTCTCAATGGACCAGGTCATAGCGCCGCCCAAATTTCGTGACGCTACCAATTGCATCTTCAGTTCAATACTTTCAACGTTGTCGTAGCCAATCCACTGATCGCCTTGGAAAGCGTATGGAGCTTTACTCTCGCCATCAAATACAGTCTGCCAGTTGTTTTGGCAAATTTCATGGTAGCCCAGGAAGCCTTTCTCGCGCGTATAGACACCTTCGTTACCGGGTCCAATGCAGGCTGCGCCCGGCTGGTTTTGGGAGCTGTCCACCATCTGGTAACTGTGTCCATAGAAGCCAATGCCCAGTATGAGCTTCTCAGCCGGCGCACCTAGACAAAAAATTATTGATACATGAGTATATTCGATGAAAACTGTGGGATAAGTCACTTACCCTGCTGCAGCCAGTAGTCGATAGACTTTTCCACCTCTGGCAGTGGAGCATTGAAGCCCAAATAGCCATCTAGTGCCATGTGGAAGTCATAGGTCATCACATTAATGAATGTTAAATGCTGAGAAATTGCCGGAATGTCATAGGAAATGGTCGCAGAGGCTTCAGAGGCACCCACAGCAATGCCCAATTCCAGGCCGTGCGGATCAAATCTGTACCATCATGATGTTAATACACCATTTTTTTTTGTAGCTCATAATTCCACTTACGATTCCTTAATTTCCCGCAGAAGCGTAACGAAGTTGGCTCGATCCGCATCATTGCCGCCGCGTTGTCCAGGATATTCCCAGTCTAAGTCCAGGCCATCGAAGCCGTATTGCTGGATGAAGGACAATGTGGTGGAAATGAAGGTTGCCCTTTTTGCTGGATCAGCAGCCATTGCCGAGTATTTGGTGGAGCCTTCATTCCAGCCGCCCACCACAGCTAAAATTTTCAGCTTAGGATTCACCTGTTTCAAGGCAATTGTCTTGCTGATGAAACCTACAAAATAATGGCAAAGTTCACTCAAACGGATTGACAAATATTCGGAATTGTTCAGGTACTCACCCAGACCATCATCCATGTCCAGCCATGTGTCCAGGGACTTGAACTCGCCCGAGTCGCTGATGCCGAAGAACGTGTAGCTAATGTGCGTGCACAGTGAAGGATCTATGTTGGAGGGTTCAAATTTTCCATCTCCCGGACGATAGTTGGCCCATGTGCCCCAATAACAGTTGATTATCTCTGCAAGACACGCCCAGATCAATAACGACCGATGACAAACGGGCTCTCAGCAGGAGCCACTCGCACTTACTGTCGCTGGAGGCCAGCTGACCCAAACAAATCAATGAAAATACCAAGCACGCGAATAACTTCATGCTTACACTAGCTCTGGGTTCAGTTTGTCGTTTCTTTTATAGGTCGTGCACTCGCTTTGCTTATCAGATCCATAAACGACAATCTACTGGGAACTGCGTAGATAACATTTGCCATCTGCGGGCGGAGTCAACGTTGACACCATGAAAAACAATCTCCTAATATATTGCATCTGATGGATAATCTAGATTACAAAAGCGCTCCTCCTATATTTCGCACTTCAATATGCGTATACTAAATTAAATTTTGACTCATACTCTCTACTCAAGTGCGCCTTGCCAATGTCCACTTGTACTCGAGCTGTATTTTAATGGAATCCATATACCTATTGAGATTAATCGAAAAGGAAACTGGCCTAAGTACCTTTGTCGTGCTTTCATTATATTTAGCATTCTATAAAGTTATCTGCATGATACAGCGGCATGTCGACCCCCAAAAGCTAGCACTTATTTATTGCTAGCAATATTATTAACAAAAAAAAAAATTACACTAGCCAACAAAGTTACTAACGTGCAGTAGATGTCTTCTCCATATATATATTTTTTGACCAGCATCAATTACCGAGTCGATCTAGCCATGCCAGCCCGTCTGTCGATCTCAGAGATTTTCAGAGCCTTGTACTTATTATTTTAGATATTGGTCCTTCTGAAACCCGAAAAGATGAGGCTTGTAATAATTTCTACAAAATCGCATATATGAATATTTCTCACTTTGGCTACCTTAGTCCGTTTCCGAGGTATTAACTTGCGTATATATAGAATATAGTTTAGCCCATTTCAGTCGTAAGCAAAAATATAAATATTATTTAGAATTCTTTTGGGATAACCCCCGATTGACACAGCTTACAAAAAGGGTATATACTTTACGGAATCGGAATGTATATTACTTTTAACCACAGCACTTTAACTCTTGACTGACATCTTCATACTAAGCGGGCTGCGCAAAGAGAAATCAAAAGAATATAAAATATCATTGTATCTTTCCTTTTCTTCCAATCATACAATGTACGGAAAAAGTATCTTGATAAGGCTGAGTTCACATGCTTTGATAAACGCAAACAAATGTCAAATTAAATGAAAATGAAATTTTTAAAAATACGCTTTTCAAATGCAAACTTTATTTTTTGGCTAAAAAGTAAGGCTAGCTTAGGCTACAGTGGCTGCCGAAATATTAGGCCACATTAGGCACGTTGTGTTGCCTTGGGTCTGCTTGCAACAGATAGTTGTTTAAGTTTAAGGACTAGATGAATTTGGCTTAAATTGCTTGGAAAAGAGGTTCCGTATCATCTGTTACTCAATCATCTATTAGTCAATGACCTGTTTATGCTCGGACCACTAGACTTTCGGTCTGGCCAGGTGACAAGGCCTCACCTTCAAAGTGAGTTTGCAAGTTGCCACGGGCGTACACACACTCTCTTTACCCAAACTGCAGCCTGTGTCATCTGTCAGCTTTGTTGCTGTCGGCTTCTATGAATTCTAAATAAACATGGCTATCACTTTAGGTATGTTTGCAGCCTGAGTTAGCTCACAAGCTCTTTAGATGTAAGCTAAGGGAAGCCTAACAGATACTGCCCCTGCCACGCAGCTGTCTAGGTGAGATTTTTTACAAAATGCACAAGTTTGTACAAACAGAAAATAGACAGACATGACACCAGATCTACCAGCTCAAGAATATGTATACTTTATGGAGTCGGAGAAGCTTCGCTTCTTCCTGCATTATAACCATTTCTTAGAAATTTTTATTTGCAATTACAACGTCTGTGTAGCTTACATAAATAACAAACAGCAACAAGCAAAAAAACTGCCAAAATAATATAATTAACTAATTATCTATTATCTATCGCTATCAACAAATATTAATCAGACTTAAGTACGCAAGGGCTCTCGACAGCAGGTTGCCAGGTATCGTCCAGAAGAGCACTCTCGACACTCTCGAGACCTCTTACCTGTATCTGAATAGGTTTATTTTTATCGTATTTCTAGGCTGGTAACACAAATGCCAACTATCTGCTAGAAGAGCACACTCGACTGGGACGATATTGTTTGAGTAACTTAATTTGAGAAGCCCATGTTGAAAAATTATTTGAGTAAACCATGGATAAAGTGATCAAGAGAAGCAGAAGCTTGCCAGCTTAGTCGTTTTCAGGTTTATTATTATTTACATTTTTATAATGTAATGTGTGTATACAAAATATACAACAATTATTTTTGCGATTAAAATTACCAACGCAACTTTCGGTTGATGGTCTTCAGAAGGGGGTATGACTCGCCGCAGTGGCCACGGAAGTCGTCCGTCTCTATAGACCACACCATAGCTCCGGCCAAGTTCTTGGACAGGGCAAAGTCCATTTTCCACTGTACACTGAGAACATTGTCAAAGCTGACCCATTGATCTCCGGAAAAGGCATAGGGAGCAGCATTATTATTGTCGAAGACCGTCTGCCAGTTGTTCAGGCAAATCTCATTATAGCCCAAATAGCCACCGTCGCCGGTGAAGGGACCTGCACCGCCCACGCCTCGGCATGGAGCTCCTGGCCAATTTTGAGAGGGGTCCGATAGCTGGAAAGTGCGTCCATACAAGCCAATTCCAAGCACAAGTTTATTGGCAGGTGCACCTAGGGATTGGTGTGAAATCAACAGAAACAAAAAACTGTCGCATTAACCAATTACCTTGGTTGAGCCAATAATTGATGGAGTTCTCGATGGCCCACTGTGGGGCATTGAAGCCAGTCTGGCCATCCGAGGCCATGGCAAAATCATAGGTCATTACGTTAATGAAGTTCACCTGCTGAGCAATGTTTGCGATTTCGTAGGAGCTGCTGGCGATGGACTCGCCCGCGCCCACAGCAATGCCCAGCTCGTAGCCGTAGGGTGCGAAGCTAGACATTAACCAAATTAAAGTCGATGCGGACCAATGGATCACTTGGCGGATACATACGCTTCCTTGATTTCCCTCAGCAAGGTAACAAAGTTGGAGCGGTCTTCCCATTTGCCACCCCGTTGGTTGGGGTACTCCCAGTCCAGGTCCAGGCCATCGAAGCCATGGTTGCGCAGCAGATTGAGAGCAGAGTTAATAAAGTTCTGACGCTTATTCCAGTCGCCGGCCATGGATGAGTACTTGGCAGATCCTTCGTTCCAGCCACCAACCACAGCCAGCACCTTGAGGTTGTGATTCTGGCTCTTCAGGCCAATGGCCTGGTTGATGAAGCCCAAATCATAGTCCAGCCACGTATCCAGCGACTGAATCTCGCCATTATCGTTGATGCCAAAGAACGAATAGCTCAGATGCGTGCACAAGTTGGCATCGATGTTGGATACATCGAATTTGCCATTGCCACTCCGGTAATTCGCCCACGTGCCCCAATAGCAATTGACAATGCCTATAAGACAATAAAAGTGCTCAGGTAATCAGCGTATTTGACACTTTTCCGTAATCTACACTTACGCTCGCCCGTAATGAGAGCACTAAGACTGAGAATGACGAGAAGAGCTATTAGCTTGCCCATTTTGGCTAATTCAGACTGTTCCCTTTTTTGCAGGTGCTGCTACTTTTATACAAAATTCCTTATCACTCTTTCAATTACGCGCTTGACTTATTTATGTGGCCACTTCTTACTGAATAGGCAACACAATATCAGCATGAGTATAATATATTTGAGATTTCTTTATGCGAACCCTCCTCTTCAACCAAAACAATAAACACCACATTATCTTAAGATATCAATTATTTCAGAAGTAATTCATGCAAACCTTTTCTTTCGATCGGTTTTACAATCTCAGCTTATACGCTGAATCCATTGGAAATTGGTAAAAAAATTATATGTTAATTTTGTAAAAATGCATGCAACAAGAAGAAGAGGCATCTCCAGGATAGAGTATTATATATAAATCCCGTTAATCTTAGAAACTTAAAAGCTAGAAATTTGGTATTTTATTTATTTTTTATTATTTATATGCAATATATTTTTCAATTTAAATGCTATGAAATTAGTCAACATTAAATATCCAAAAGTGTGGCGCAGGCGGAAGAAAGGCATAGGGTATTTCTTAGTCGGTCACCTCCGACTAAAGCAACCATATTTATTATCTTAAGGAGCTGATACTTTCTAACTGCTAGTCGGCCTAACTCTATTTTACTTTGAACTATTTGCTTTAAGTGCTCCCAGAATCCTTTCCCAACTCTACCCGTTATACACATACTTGGGCAGAGGGTATAAAGACTAAGGTAATTAAGAGATAATTATTTGGAATACGGAAGTGATATTCAGCTCTTTGAGACAGTAGGCGTTCCCTCGTACATGTGCACGTATAACCTAATGAAATTTAACTAATTAGCAGGCTTTAGTGGACTTTGTCTGGTTCGGTTCTTCGTTTCTTTAAGGAGTGAATTTTCCGCAAATGCCATTTTACGAAAGTATTCAAAGCTGAGTTTGTCGAGCGAGCCCTAAAGTTTCAGACTTACGAGTAAGTACTTGGAGTAGGACGAAAGCTGAATTTAATTGTATCTGGTTATGTCTTCTCATTCAGACAAGTTGTAAGACGAAATGCTTTTAAATATTTTAAGTTCATTGGCAAATAAAAGATAATCGGAAAAACGGATGCAACAAATAGAAGTGGACCAAGACAACTTCCCTGAGATAGCCCGACATGCGTTCAGGCAGACCAATCAGCTTCAAAGAAGAAGAATGAAAACCTAGCCTAGAACACATTTAGAAAGCGTAGTTCATGTAGATCTGCCGGGATTGGGGAAAATCCATGCTCTCTAGGCTGCAACTTTTTTGTTTATTATCGGTTTTAATGTCCGATATTAAACTTTCCATATAAACAATATGATAAACAATAAACAAAAGCAGATTGACTGAAAGGAATAATACTTTTTGAAATACTAACGTATTCTTAAACTTTAAGTTTATTAACATTTCAGGTTAATTGTGCAAAAGTTACAATAGAAAACATTATTAACCGCTATTTGATTCGAGATTCATCAACAATAAAAAAAATATTTATATAATTGACAGAAAATAAATAAAAAACAAAATATATTAAGCTGCCAAGCGTTGAAAAAAGCGGAAGTTGCATATTCGAAATTTCAGTGCGTGCGTCTCAAGGCATCTACGATGCACAGGTTGACTATTAAATACATTTGGGCTGTTCCAATTGATGATTCAGTTGGAGACGTAAATCTCGAACTCCTTGTAGGCCAGCTCCTCGCCGGCATAGGGTATGTAGCAGCAGCCGTGCGATGGCTGCACCTTGCCCACTGTGACTGTGCCGTCGTGGGTGGCGCGTCCAATGAAGAGAGGCTCGCCCTCGGATGTCTCACCGGCGGGCACAGCGTTGGGTGGAATGTTGCCAGCCTCGACGGGCAGCCATTGGCCGCCGCCGGCGCAGAGGACCTCGTACTCGTTGTGGCCGTGTTCACCGCCGCCCCAGGCAACATAGGTGACGCCATGCGAAGGATGCAGCTTGCCGGGAATGAGATCGCCCTCGTGACGAGCGCGCGCAATGTACAGCTGCTCGCTGCTATCGAAGCCGCCCTGCATGGCGTTTGCCGGAACCTCGCCGTTGGCGGCGGCTACCCAGCAACCGGCTCCGCTGCCAGTGGGCGGAGCGAAGCCCATAGCGGGCGCCGAGGGTGCGGCATCTGCAGAATTCAGAGTTGATAAGAAATCAATACAAAATAATTATGCACCTACCATCTATCAGCCAGGTGCCGCTGGCACCCCAGCCCGTGCAGATGCCAACATAGTTAACTGGAAACAGAGCTCCCGCATCGTAGGACAGGAAGGCGGCAGCGTCGCCCTCATGACCCACGGTGATGACATTGTCGTACCAGCGCACCCAGAAGCCACGGAACTCGCCGGCGTTCAGAATGCCCGGTGTTGGCACCTCGACCACATCTGGTTTTTGGCCATCCTTGCGAATAACAGACTTGCTGTTCTCCCATCCGCCCAAGAAAATCTCGTAGATGGGAGGGCTTCCCTGGGGGCTAGGGGTGAGCGCGATATGGGCATCCTTAGCAGAGCGCACCTTAAAGGTGAAGACTCCGCCGCTGGCCGGGAAGAATTGGTATTCCAATTTATCGGGTGTGTTGACTTCTACAAAACAAAAGTAATATTTTAATATGGAGGCAAGCAGGATTAATTGTTAAAAGGTAAACAATTAAATTAGTCGAACCCAAAAATATTTAAATCGAATATTTAATAATTAAAATAGCTACAATAATATCGTCCATAGTATTCAATTTTAGATAAATATCTGGCTATTATAGCTACCTACAGGGTATCTACCAGTCAGTAAGTCTTGAGTGACGCATTCCTCACAAACAAATTTTATATTTAATAATCAAAATAGTTATAATAATAGATTCCACATCATTCCATTTTAGATAAATATCTGGCTATAATAGTTACCTACAGGGTATCTCCCAGTCAATCAGTCTTGAGTGGCACTTTCTTAACAAAGAAATCTAATATTTAATGTTGATTATAACAACCTCCATGTCATTCAATTTTGATAAATAACTGGCTAAAGAGGCTATCTACAGGGTATCTGCTAGTCAACCAGTCTCGAGTGACGCATTCTAGAATTTGTTTTTTTGACATTGTTTGTGTTTAGAAAAACGACGCATTTGATTCGCATGATGTCATTTTGAATGGTGCCGGCGTCAAAGCATTTTCTAGACCCAAGCGATTACTCATTCCGCTGAGAGCCCGGCTCTAGATTGAGCCCAGCTCTGTGAGATCTGGTACAAAGTAATCCGCTCATAGATACATTTAGGTGTATCTACTTATTTACTTATAGTTTGTATTCATACAAAAAGTAGGTATTTAGCGGGTTCTCTGCTAGAAATGAATCTATATCTATGTGCACGGATTTACATACACACACACGCTTAGTCTAAAAGCTGTTGGCATTCAAAGTATGCTCATCAATCTGTGTGTAGTATGCGATTGTATCTGTTTGTGGAATGAAAAATGTTTGCTCAAATTTCACATCACAGCAACTGTTGTCGAGAATGACATCATTTGGCTGCACCTCGAGGTCAACCTTCGGCCAATTTCTGCTTCGTATTGATTATTGTCAAAGTTCAAAGTGGAGATAAGAAAGATGTCTTATATAAATTGAGTCAACGCTTTTCGTGCAAAACTTCTATATTTTTTATTTACCAATGCACTGTTGGGATTCGCAATTTTGAATTGCTTTAAACTAACAGAGATCTGTCTGCCTAACGGTTTTTTTTCACCTTTCCTAAGTGACCAGCATAACTTTTTTTATTGTTATTGAGGGCAACGCCCCTATAAAAAGCATAGCCATATTATAGAAAACTTTGACAAATATCGTAAACTTTTAACATAATTTTCTGTTATTCTTTTTATTCTTTTCTTATTGGACACCGGCCAAAAACTAACCAAATTACACACAGAGAGAGCGAAAGAGAGAGTGAGCGATAGAGAGAGAGAGCGAGCTGTCGCAGCCGGCTTTATTGGGTCGTGGAATAATATTAAAGCAAATGCACTCGTGTCAGGCCACAATAATTTGAGGTCAATCTTTTATTCTTATTCCACTATCTATTAAATTCACTCGGACCACTCACGACTCACCAATTGGCATGGTTGCTTTTTTATTTGGACTCGACGTTGTTCGCTGTCTGAGATTCTGATACAAACTGGCGCAGCGAAAAATTTCACTTGCGAGGTAAACACCTGCTTAGCCAGAGAGCCACACAGAGGCATGGCAAAAAGCTCCGAGTTGTCACGCGAGCTTTCCGTTGCGAAGTACAGTAACAATACGAACATGTATTGGATCGGGCATCGAGGGGATCTTAGTCTATTCGATGCTGGTCAGACTGTACCCAATTACATATGTATGTAAGACCGCTGAGAACTCACATGCATATGTATATCCAATTGTGCTAACTGTTAAAGCTCTACTTTTGAATCGTTATGCAAAAGCGGTAAGCACAAAACTTTTACCACAGGCTTGGCAACACGTAAAACTATTTTGTTGAAAAGAGTGTGCCCGTACCAAGAAATGAAATGCTTTCAACAAACATGCGAGTTTTGATTACATTAAGGCAAAATAAATATAAAATATATTATTGCCTAAGCTGTAGAAATATCCGCCTATAGGCCTACAGACATATCGTGTAACGAAATTGTAATGCCTTGTGGCAGGGTATACACAACTTTGTAAGTCACAAGCTCAAATGTTATAAATTTTACATACATACATTTCTCACATTCATAAACAAACACGCACACTCATGTGCTTACACCGCAAACTATAAAGCTGAAGCGAAGTTTGAAAAGCTTCTGTTGACGGGCAGCATTTGAATTCGCAACACTCTTAGATATTAAATATATCAACTCATATGCCGTCATATGCCGACTTTATTATATTTGTCATGCCAACTATGATGATATAAACTCTAATGATCACGTCATGGCTATGGCGAAAGACATAAAAGACTTCTGGAAAACTTTCAAAGAACTCGTTGGAGAAATACCTCATTCATCAAAAAAAAGGGTATATTTCTGTTTTGTCAGAGAGTAAAGTATACATATATACATATGATCTATATTTAATGCCATATATTCGATGCTATCCTATATATTCTAACAATATTCCTCTTACTCAAACAGATTTTTTGCTTAAATTGGAGCATTCAGATAATCTGCAATTTTGAACGGGGTGCAAAAGTTCTCAATCGATCGTAAATATGGAAGGCATATGATATACTGACTAGATCCGGTCGGATCCAACAAGTAGAAGGGAATCGAAGTGTTTAACTTGCATTAAACAAATAAACGGATGCATTTATTGACTCAGCTTGTAATGAAAGTGACGCGGACGGATCTCTAAATGGATTACATCTAAAGATTATCAGCTGATATATATTCAGAATGACTCTTGCGCTCCAAATTCGCAATTTGAAATAAATATGTCTATATTTTTCTACGATTTAACTCAAAATGATTGGCAATAAAAAATATCCCTTACTATTCTTACTATTACTATCATTGCCAAATATCACGAAAAAGGTTGGCCCAAATATGTAAATGGATACTAAAGAGTATTTAGAATTTACCAAAAGACAATATAAATACTAAAATTTAGTATTAAGAATTTTTAGCCAGTCGTATGTTGCTTTATATGGACGAAGTATATGTGTGCATATGGATTCGTGCGTGATGCATGTTTTATTTTACTTGTCATAGCCCAAAGATCTCAAACATAAAGTGATCTCATGGCACATTTATAGCCAATAATACAGGGTGTATCAGCTGAAAAGACTCCTCTATTTATAATTAATGTAAACAAATAATTTTCTTTTATAAGAGTGCTCACAATTTCAGAGAGTTGGTCGATCCTCTAATATAAAAACAAATTTATGTTAAATATCCCAAAATTAGTTTTGTGAATTTAAATTACATTTAGAAGCGAATTTTGATTGCCATAACATTCATGTTAACCGATTTAATGGCATTCTAAGTGTATTTTTTAAATATTAACTGACAACAAATATATTCGTCAAGTTCGATCAAACAAACCCCGCTTCTACTTGCAACATCAGGCGCTGACAACTTCAACCATCTCTTATGGAACTCGAAGGTATGACCAAGATACGGCTGAGTCGGTGGTAAATACTTCACTTACAGAGAAAAACTACGATATACATTTATCAGAAATCGAATGAAATACTTGATTGTGAAACACACTGCAAATAGGCTGTGTTAATCGGAATCCAACGCAGTCTAAAATTCTAAGTACCATATAGAATTAACTATGCATGGAAGTCATATTTCATAGAATACCTAACGGTGGACTGATATTTATGCCTTGGTGGTTTTTAATGGAAATTTACTCTGCTTTTAGCATACCTTTAGGCTGTCATGTTAAATTTTAGATTTGGAAAAAGATCTATATAAAAAGAAGCCAGAATACTTTTATCACAGTTTTATTATAGATCTATCGCAGATTTCCAAAATAATTATTAAAAAGAATTCAAATTAATGATATGTTTGAAATAGATGTACATTTCGCGAGTGCTGACTGTATTTGGGACGTAGAGAAAATGTAAGATAGATAAATAATATCTTTATTTTACCGCTATAACATGTTCTTTCATGCTTCACGTCTTGCATGTTTATTCTTCTTTTCGATCCAGACAAAGCATATTTACCGAGTCTCAGTCCGTTCTCTTTTGGAATCGTGCAAAGTAATTTAAACGCTGGTGGTTCAAGAAAAAAATTATAAACATATAAAATAATGAAAATTCAAGTTTAAATGCTATATTAATTGCTTATGCGGAGCTCGAACTTTGTAAATGTCTTGAGTGAAGGATCTATAGAAAATTTTGGGATCGATCTTTTGCTAACATATTTATTTAGGAGCTATCGATCCCAGCGAAGAAAAAGTATTTGTATATCATTTTGAGTACTGAGGGTATCTCCCAGTAAAAATATTTGAGTGCAAAATATGCTAAAAGTGTAATGCGATTGCACTACGAAAGATAATCCCTAGTCTTGAATGAGCTTATCTTAATTGTGGACCATATTTTAAACAAGCTTCGCGTTAATATACAATTGGCCCATTTAAATCTACTGCAACTACATATATTCACTTAAGAGACAGCTCAATAAACTTGTCTGGCCAATAAAGGAGGTGATCCATCTGGTAACAAGCTAATAAATTTTGATTGCACTTTCCATTGTTTTTTATGATGGGGTTTTCTGCACTGAATATTTATTTATTGCTGCTGGTCAATTTGCATCGCATTCATTGATTACTTTTGTATGCAAAGTATCCTGGTATTATTGTGAGGGGGCTTACATCAATTCTAGCCGCTCCACAGATACATATGTAGTCAATTTTTCCACTGCCATTGGAACTCGATTCGTATGCCATAAAGAACAAGCTCCGGGTAGAGCAATTGCTGAGAGCAATCGCTGACCAATTACCTTTACTTAGTGTGCGCATAGTACGAGCGGCTTTTGTTCTTACTAAATAAATTTACACATTTCAATTAAGATTTCCGCCGTGGATTTGCGCATTTCACAAAATCCAAAATCTGACTATCTGCCCCAAGTGGATATGACCGTGCTCAATTTACGTTAATTCAGTTCTTTGCACTGACGCAATAACAACCCCAACCCCAACCCCAAACGCAATCGCAACCTCAACCCCAACCCCATTCCCTGTCTGGTTTAGCCTATGAATATGAGATCATATATGTAACATACATATATGCCCTTCTTCAATTCAGATGAAAGGCTCACTCTTCCAGAGTTACTTGGGGCAACGGTCTAACTCCACACAATTTCACATCGCAATTTCTTTTCAAGAACTTGCATCAATTTAAAGTAATTCAGAGTTAATTTTAATGCCACAACAACCCCAAGAGAATGTGTTCCTTTTAGAATAATATTATCAACAGCTTATACTTTGTTAACAGTATTTTTGTTATTAATTGGAGTATAGATTAATTAATTTAGTATTTATTATTATTATTTTAGTAATTATACGAGTGTCTATAAATATTGATAAATTAGAGTGCTCTTGTCGTCGGTGTCAGATGCTACTCGCTCGCCTGCTCGAGCTCATCATTTCATTAGATATTTAACCCGTAAAGGAATATACCAGAATTAATAAATAAAAAAAAAACAGAGTTCTCTAGTCGGCAGAACCCAACTAGAGGATGCCTTAAACCTCGCTTAGAATTAATAAAATTAAGGAATATAGTATCCACAAAATAAAAAGCTAAATTTCAAATTTGCCTCCTCTGGCTCTCAAATCCTAAGAGATATGCACAAAAGCGCTGATATCATATAAATATAATATACTTTTTACTCAAGAAAGAAAACACGACATTCGTCCGACTTATTTCCGAATTTCGGCTCTGCTTTAGATAAGCATAATAGGTATACATACACACATACACATGCATGCATACACATGCCTACATACATGCATATAAAATGTTGCTGGACGAGCCCCCTAGCTAATTGCCAAACCCACACAAGGGCACCATGAAAGCCATAATGCACAAGTATGTGTGTACATATAAATATTTATAAGCAGCATGTACATATGTATATGCTTAACGTATTTTCGATTTAAACTAAACGTTGTTTGCCTTCAATAGTTCAAGATTAGGGAACTGTTAATTCGATGTCATCATTTGATATATTTAACTTTTTGCACTTGATAGACTCGTTTGGAGTTGTATTTGATAGTATTTGAACGATAATACACATTTATTTATTGTTTTAAAAGCAAAGGTCATTAACGAAGGTCATTGTCTTTTCACTTTGGTATTTACGCTGAATGGGTTGAAACGTGTTTTTGTACATACAAAGAAGCTCGCAATTTTAGTCATTGTTGAAAAACGCATTGTTGAGTTTCTGAACCGGTTCGCTATCAGGGGCCATGTGCACAGACCTACCGGCAGCAACAGTTGGCAAAGGGCACCTTGAAATCGAGCCAAACCGAATGAGTACCAACAGAGAACACACATGAATATGTATTTGTATACATTTGTATACACTTCACGGTCTGTAGGGGGGGAGGTGTCAAACCGAATTGTCATATGGCTAAACATTTTGTTTGGCTAAATAGTGAATGCCTTGTCGTCAATACGTTAAATTTCAACTAATGCTGCAAATTGCATCAGCAGCTGCGCCGGATAAACATAATCTTAGGTGGGGGGGAAGCGTGCGGAAAGGGTATATCCACCGTTTGCCGGCTAAGTGTGAAGTTAGTCGCGTGTGACGTGCTACGCCAAGAACTTTTTACTCTCTGCTCTCAGTTTGTTAACAACGGTATATCTGCACTAGTCTTTGGCAGAGGGTATATACAGTCTATAAAAGTTGTTAATTATAACTAGCAGGTGGTGCTCACTGTTCACGGCGCTATTTTTATTCTTTACATTTTCAACATATTTTAACAACCATTTCGCTTTTGTCTGATAGATAAGAAAAGCACAGAATTCCAATCAAAGTGTTTCCCTTAGAAACCGTTTAAACTCATATTCTTTTCTTTATAATAAAGAACTTTTAAAATATGCCCTCTTAACTTATCGAAAATGTGTGAAACATGCATCAAATGAATTTTATAATTATCTTTGGTAATGATTCAGTCCATTCGGATAACCATTTTCCGCGTTGCTTGCCAAGCAAACAGCTAGTTGGTCAGGTCCCTTTGCAACGGTAACGGTATGGCCAAGTCGAGAACCACGCAAAAATTTATCTTTGCTTGCCATACAACAAAAACCTCATGTTCATTTTGCGCTCTCTCGCTCTCTCTCTCTCTCTCTCTCTTTCTTTGTCTCTCTCCCTCTGGTCTCTTTGGCACGGTAACAGCTGCTCCGCGACACGTACAGACATACATATGTAGATATGTGGATATTTTCGAGAGAGCTGCAAAAAACTATTTATTTACATGGAGGAAAGCTTAGCGATCGCCGTTACAGTCAGTTTTGTATCGTTTCGTCAGCAAGTCGCACGCGCTGCTACATCAAGGCAAAATATTGCACAAAATTTGTTAAGTGATAAAAAAAAAAAAAACGCGTGTTGTATGATAAAAGCATATTTGCCCAGAGAGAACCAGAAGCAGAGGCGGAAGCCACATCTCAAATAATAACAAGAAGTTGGCGACATTGTGGGCGATAGAAGCAAAAAATCAATACCAATAGACTACAACATACTCTGGTCGAGACTACGCCGAGTGGCGTTAACTTCCACAAAGTGCGGACATAATTTCACAGTTCCATTTCCAGAGGACCTCAGACAGCTGCAGCGCAGAATGAATGCCAACGGGTAAGTTTAGTGATTCTCAATGCGAGTATTGCGCGTATTTGCATTCGCATTTGCATTTGCATTTGGATTTGCACATCTAATTGCGAGTTGCATAATTTTCGATTTGAAAGGAACAAAAAAAAAATCAACCAGAAATCACAAACTGTCTGCTAGTTA